ACAATATTAATTTTTCCAGTCCATGAGCATGGACAATATGTCTTTACATTTATTTGTGCCTTTGGTTTCTTTCATCAGTGTCTTTATAGTTTTCAGTGAACAGGTCTTTAATCTCCTTAGTAAATTTATTTCTAGGTGTTTTATTCTTTTTGATGCAGTTGTAAGTGGGATTGCTTTCTTAATTTCTCTTTCTCATAGTTTATTGTTAGTGTATAGAAATGCAACAGATTTTTGTGTGGTTGATTTTATATCCTGTTTTACAGAATTTGTTTTATAGTATTTTGTGGAGTCTTTAGGGTTTTCTGCATATAAAATGTCATCCACAAATAGTGACACTTTTATTTCTTCCTTTTCAATTTCAGTGCTTTTTGTTTCTTTTTATTGCCTAATTGTTCTGGCTAGAGCAATTTGACATATTGAATGAAGGTGGATAGAATGGGCATCTTTGTCATTTTTACATCTGTGTTCACCAGGGATACTGGCCTATAATTTTCTTTTCTTTTTTTTTTTTCCTTTTCTTTTCTCTTCTCTTTTTTTTTTTTTTTTTTTTAATGTCTTTGTCTGGTTTTGTTATCGGGGTAATCCTGACCTAATAAAATGAGTTTGGAAGTGTTCTCTCTTAATCAATTTTTTGTCAGAATTTTAGAAGGATAGGTATTAAATCTTCTCTGTTTGGTAGAATTCATAAGTGAAGCCGTCTGGTCCTGGACTTTTGTTTGTTGGGAGGTTTTTGATTACTGATTCAGTCTCATTAGTAGTTGGTCTGTTCACATTTTTTCTTCATGATTCGGTCTTGGAGGCCTGTATGTTTCTAGGGATTTTTGTTTGAGCCGTTTCTCTTTTTTTCTTGTTGAAGCTAGTTAAAGGTTTGTCAGTTCTGTTTAGTTTTCAGAGAACCAGTACATGGTGTCATTGATCTTTTCTGTTGTCTGATTAGTCTCTATTTCATTTATTTCTGCTCTGATCTTTGTTATTTCCTTCCTACTACTAACTTTGGGTTTTGTTCTTCTTTTTCTAGTTTCTTTACATGTAAAGTTAGATTGTTTATTTGAGATTTTTCTTATTGTTTGGAGGTAGGCCTCTGTTGCTTTGAACTTCCCTTTTAGAACTGATTTTGCTGCATCCCGTAGATTTTGGTAAGTTGTATTTCCATTTTCATTTGTTTTGAGGTATTTTCTTACTTCTCCCTTCTAATTCTTTATTGACCCATTGGTGGTTTAGTATCATATTGTTTAATCTCCACATACTTAGGATTTTTTTCCAGTTTTTTTTTTCATGTAAGTGATTTTTAGTTGCATACCATTGTGATTGAAAAAGATGCTTAATGTGATTTCAGTCTTCTCAAATTTATTGAGACTTACTTTGTGGCCTCACATGATTTATCCTAGTTGTTTATCTTTTTCTTATGTTTATTTAGTTTTGTGAGAGAGAGAGGGGGGGAGAGAGAGAGAGAGAGCGCGCATGGGGGTGGCAGAGAGAGAGGAGACACAGGCTCTGAGCTGTCAGCACTGAGCTTGACATAGGGCTCCAACTCAGAATTCTCAAGATCATGACCTGAGCCAAAGTAAGATGCCTAATCAGCTGAGCCACCCAGGTGCCCCTAATTGGTTGTTTAAAGCTGATGTTGCCTTACTGATTTTTTTTGTCTGGATGATCTGTCCATTGATGTAAGTGGGGTATTAAGTCCCCTGCTATTATTGTATTGCTGTCCATTTTTCCCATTAGGTCTGTTAATATTTACATATTTAGGTGCTCCTATCTTGGGTGCATAAGCATTTAGAAATGTTATATCCTCTTGTTGGATTGACCCCTTTATTATTATGTAAAGTTCTTCTTTGTCTCTTACTACATTCTTGGTTTTAAAATCTATTTTGTCTGATACAAGTAAAGCTACCTCTGCTTTCTTTTGGTTTCCGTTTGTGTGAAATATATTTTTCCATTTTTTTAGGCTGTGTATGTTCTTACATCTGAAGCAAATCTCTTGTAGCAGATCGATGGTTTTTTTTATTCCAGCCACTTTGTCTTTTGGTTGGAGAATTTAGTCCATTTACCTTAAAGTACTTATTGATATTTCTTATTGCCATTTTGTTCCTTGTTTTCTGGCTGTTTTGTAGTTCCTATCTTCTCTTGCTGTCTTCCTTTGTGGTTTGATGGTTTTCTTTAGTGTTATGCTTAGATTCCTTTCTTGCTATTTTTGTGTATCTCTTGTAGGTGTTTACTTTGTGGTTACCATGATGCTCCCCCCTCCCATTTTATGTTTTTGATGTCACATTTTACATCTTTTTCTTTTGTGTGTCCCTTAACTGATTATTGTAGTTACAATTATTTTTACTTATGTCTTTTAACCTGTATGGTAGCTTTATGTGATTAATCCATTACCTTTACTATATATTTATCTTTACCAGTGAGACTTACATGTTTTCTTATTCAATTAGTGTACTTCCTTTGCTGCTTAAAGAATTCCCTTTAAAAGTTCTTTTAAAGTCAATTTAGCAATGATGAACTTCTCTAGCTTTTGCTTGTCCGGAAAACTCTCTCTGCTTTAATTCTGAATGATAACCTTGCTGGGTAGAGTATTTTTGGTTGGAAGTTTCTTTCCTTTCAGCTCTTTGTCTATATTGTGCCTCTCCCTTCTGGCTTGCAAAGTTTCTGCTGAAAGATCTGCTTAAAGTCTTAAGGGGTCTGGGGTGGGGGGTTCCTTGTATGTTAAAGTTGTTTTCCTCTTGCTTCTTTTTGGATTCTCTTTTACTTTTGACATTTTAATTATACTATGTCTTGCTGTGGATCTTTTGGAGTTCAATTTTTTTTATGGGACCTTTTGGGCTTCCTAGATCTGGACATCTGTTTGCCCACATTAGGGATGTTTGCAGCCATTATTTCTCCAAATAAGTTTAATGTCCCTTTGTTTTCTCTCTTCTCTTTCCAGTACCCCTATAAGGTGAATGTTATTCTGCTTGATGTCATTCCATAGGTTCCTTAAGCTTTCTTCACTTTAATTTTTTTCTTTTTTCCACTCTTGTTTGTTTGAGTTTCACTATGTCTTCTAGATCACTACTCTTGTCTCCTGCTTAAGCTAGTCTGCTGTTGAATCCCTCTAGTTTAGTTTCTGTTTTTCAGATCAGTTACTATCTTCAGCTTTGTGACTTCCCTTTGATACTTATATTTTCAATCTATTTGTTTAACTTCATGCTGTGTTTGTTGACTTTTCTCCCAAGATTGGTGAACATGTTTATGATCATGACTTTCACTCTGTTAGATAAATTACTTATTTCTGTCTCATTAAATTTTTTCTTCTCAGGTTTTATCTTGTTCTTTTGTTTGGAACATATTTTTCTGTTTCCTTATTTTGCTTGACTCTGTGTGTTGTTTCTATGTTTAGGGAAAACAGCTACCTCTTCTAGTCCTAAGGAGTGGCCTTGTGTGGGAGATGAACTTTGTCTTTCAACCTTGCCCTAGCTCTTCTGTTTCTCAGACCTTTGTGTTTGTCTAAGCAGCCTGATTTATATTTGCTAGGAACCAGTTATTAAGGGTGTTCCAAGACCAGTCAGTGTTCTGAAGGGAGGGATCTCAGTCAACACTTAAGTTCAGGTTGATTGGAAGCCAGACCCTCAGGCGGCAGCTTTTAGCGTATGCAAATATATATAGTTGTATGGTACCACGATTGTAAATCCTCTGCCTACAGACCAGGTGATCTGGAGATAGCCCTGGGCTACAATTGGAAAAGTCAAAATATATAAGCTCTTTTCTGGGAGGTACCAGTGAGCTGTAATGAGGCCAGTGGAGAGTGCAAAGGTGGTGTCCCCTGCCGGACATTCCCCAAGAGCACCTGTGTAGCATTTAGATGTGTGGCAAACCTGAAGTCTGTCCCTTAGGCTGAAGCTCTAGGACAGATAAATGGGCCTTTTTCACAGAAAGCCTGGGGGTGTGTTTCAGTCTGTGTGGTGCCCTGGTTATGGTGGCCTGCCAAGAACCTTTTCTCTGATTATTACATTCTCACGGGACTAAGGAACGCAGTCACCCCTGGCCACTAGAGCCATGTGATCAGGGAGCATCTCTTGTGTAGACTGTGTGTGACCAACAGGTTTAGTGCAACTGCGGGAGAGTGCAGGGCTGGAGTGTGCCTGCTGGCTTTAGTGGGGCCATGGGAGAGTGCAACAGTGGCACAGGGCAGTGCCTTTGTCTCTGGAGAGAGTCCCAGCAGGCCCCTACCCCTCTGGTGGATGGTTTAAGATTAGCAAATTAATATCCTTCACATATAATCTAGTTGCTTTTTAAACAGCTACTTTGTGCTGGTCCCTGGCTTGAGGGAGCCTGTTTGCAAGCCTTTTAAGAGAAGTATCTCAATTCCCTACAGGCTGTTTGGTCCCCTGGATGTAAGCCCCACTGGCAAATAAAGAGGTAGCAGTATGTGTATATTTTCTCTGTTAGAAGGTGACAAAGGAATCGTCTGATATGGTATCATACCTATTGCTTGTGGCGCTTTGCAGAGTAGACCTCAGCTACTACAGTACATTCACGTACTTTGTGTTCGCATACTAAAGTGGGTTGAAATATTGTCAAAGATACGTCCAGGTGAAAATGTTTGTTAGGTGATTCCAATTTGTACCGTATCTTGCCACACATTAGTAATTTGCCGGCTTTGGTTAAAATCATTCAACTTCCTTTAAGTCCGTTAATTCCTTTTAAAGTTATGGAAAGGAAAAACCAAACTGAACAGTTGAGTTGAAATATAAAGACCTTTTTTGGACCAAATGACAGTTAAAATCAGCCAACTACTTTTCATTTTTATGTATTAAGGGAATTTTCGGTTAATCACATTGCTCTCAGATGCATTTTATGATCATAGTCAGATGTAATAGCATGTCTGAATTTCGTAGGCAGATGGAATTGGTTTTAGTTCGGATTGTTATGCTTTGATTAGCCAAAATAATATTTCCTAAGAGAATCTCTCTTATTCTAACAGATACTAACTCTAAAGAGTGATTTTTGATTTTTTTTAGTCGGCCGTATACTAACAAGGTCATCACTTTATGGTACCGTCCACCTGAACTGCTGTTGGGAGAAGAAAGATACACACCAGCCATTGATGTATGGAGCTGTGGGTAAGATAGTTTTACTGATGGTTTAATTTACTTGAAGCTTTTGGTAGTGAAGTAAATTCGTATCATTTAGTAATGATGGGTATTTTTCTCGTTAGATGTATCCTCGGTGAACTCTTCACTAAAAAACCTATATTTCAAGCAAATCAGGAACTTGCACAACTAGAGTTAATAAGGTAAGTTCATGACTGTAATATTTGTTGGGGGTGTATTTAAAGTCTTTCAAGTTTGTGTTTTCAGGAGAACGACATGGTTTTCCTGAAGGCTAATGATTGCTGAGTGGAGGAAAAACTAGAATGTGGGTACTTTGATCCTTGTTCTAGTAAAATTAAGGATCTTAAAGTCCCTAGATCTTTTTTGCAATTAAATGAAAGGGCTAGAGGCCCCAAAAATAAGACTGGGAAGAAAGAGTAAATAAATATGAGGAAGGAGACAATACGTGATAGGTAACATTTTTTTAGTATGGCAGGGTGGAAGAATTCATGTTTTGGAGTACTGTAAGACAATATCTGTTTTATATATACATATGCATATGCATATACATTTATATGTATCTATATATGAATGTCTACACACCAAATGTATACATATGCACGTACCCACTAACATAAGTCTTCATTATTTAGAGCCTGTTGTAGAGCCTATGTCATCAAGGCATACATGTTAATCACATTTCTCTTTAATATTTTAAAATATTTTTTTTAAAGAGCCTTGGCTTTCATATATAATAATGTTAATTTACAACTTCTAAGATTTGTGTGTTTCTCAAAATATGGATGAGAACTTTTAGGAAAGGTACTGGTATGAGGTACCAGTATACTATGATACCAGCTACCAGTATACTATGATATATACCAGATACCAGTATATTATGAACCTTCCTTTCAACAGACTTAATTGGATTAATTGATGCTCCCCAGTCCCCCTGTAAGTAACACTAGTTTGATAACATGGCAAACTGAATGTTTGCAGCTAATAGGCTACTACTCTCTAGTAAGACTATGTATTTATCCTACCAGTTGAAGTATGATGACTAAGAGTTAGTTGTTTACTGACTTTTTTGTATACCGACTTTTTTTTTTGTATGCCTGCGTTTTATTATTGTATATATATCCTTTAATTATAGACAGATGCAGTGCTTTGCAAAGACTTAACAAAGTTGGGGTGGGCAAGTTAGAAAGATAAGTCATAAAAATTTGGAAGAATTTAGTACTCAAATTGCTTTAAATCCTTGATATGATGTGTTATGGGTGTGGTTTATTCAAGAAAGCGAATACAGAGTCCCATTCAACGCATCCTCTGTTCAAAGGAAAGGCCTTGCTCTGTGTCAGAAAATTGGAGAATAAATGTACATTTTTTATTTTTCAGTTATAATAAAATGTTTAAATTATGTATCTGTGTTTCTTTATTTGTTTTAAATCATTCCTGTTACCCATTTTTTCTATTAACAAGGCATTGGTCCTGATTGTATTGGATACTAAGGCTCCTATTAATGATAAGTTAACATTTATTTACTTTATACATGATGCAAGCATTGTTCTAAGAATTTCACCTGAATTAACCTCAGTTAAGCTTCATAACAACCTTCTTTATTCTTTTTATAGTTAAGAAAATGGAACCTTAGAAAGTGAAGAATTTGTCCAGGGTCATAGAACTAGCAAGTGGCAAATTTGAGATTTGAATTTAGTTTTACCATAGTAGCTAAACTTCTAACTCATTCTCTCCACCATGTAGGAAATAAAACTGCTTGGAGATTTTTGGTTAGTATGACATAAGCATCAATAATTGATCAAACATCCTGAAAAATTTCTCCAGAATATTAATCCAAAACTTCTAAAGAAAAGATTAGTCAGTAGTATCTAGTTTTTCATTAAAAATCAACTTGCAGAGTCAAGTAGGAGTCATCTCAAGAATACAAGAATGCTTCAGTTTTAGGAAATCTATTACTATAATTCATCATTTTAATAGAAGTAAAATAGTATGTTTATCTTAGTAGGCATTGAATAGGCATTTACTAGAAATATAAACCAAGTGTAGAGGTATAATTCTTTAATGTGATGAAAAGATGTATTACAGACTAATATCCAGAATATTTAGTGTTGAAATACTAGAAGATATAAGACAAGAATTATAAAAAGTGTTTTCTAGTATCATTACTTTAAGAGTGTTTTTAGAAGTACCAACCAGTTAACTAGTAGTGTTATAAAAGTGAACCAATAAGAGGTATAAATAGTGGAAAGATAAGGCAGTATTGTTATAATTTGTATATGATAACATTGCATACATGCAACATGCAAGGGAATTACCTGAAAGACCTTAAATTAAAAAGTTTGGTAAAATGATGAGTGTTGAGAAACCCTGTGTGTGTGTACATATGTGTGTATATACGTATATACATATGTGTGTGTGTGTACACACAATATACACGTATATAAATATATATGTATATACATACAATACCCTAATACGTTAATACATTTATGCCAAAAGCAGTAGCTTCTTAAAAATATGTACCAGTAATAACCAGTTAGAAACGTACCTGAGGGAAAAGATCCCTTTAACAAAAGCACCATCATATATACTCCATGCTTAGTGAAAACTATAATATCTCACTTAACATTGTAAAGCAGATTTGAATAACTATTGGGAGAAATGTATCTTGTTTTTGGTTGGAAGCCTTAACTTTTTTAAAGATGGCAGTTCAACCTGTGTCAATCAGTATAGTCCTAATGAGAATTTCAAAAGACATTATCCCTCCAGATAAACGTTAAAATAACCAGAAAAATTCTTAAAAAGAAGGAAAATCTGGCATATCATATGTTAAAACAAAATTATAGCAACTAAAACCATTTGCACTGGCACAAGATACATAGATGAATTGGTGGAATTATATGGCAAGTCCAGAAATAAAGCAAGTTTATATGGACTTTCAAATACAGTATAGAGAAAACATTTCAAGGCCAGGGGGATTAACTGTACAAGTATCTATTGGTTGCTGGTTGTGTGCCAGTTACTTGGCACTGAGGGTACAGTGAAGGGTGCGGGTTGTATCCTCAGTGCCTAGTGACTGGCACACAATTTTTTTACTTTCTAACTGGGAGAGACAAGACAAAACAAATTAATAAAATGGATCAGGTGGTGATAAGGGATAGAAAATGACAGGAGGTAGTGTCATATATAGAGTCAGGGAAGGTTTCTCCCATAAAGTATCATTTGAGCAGGGATCTGAAAGAAGTGAGGGGACAGTAAAATAAAGATCCTGATGCATGAGTGTACTTGTTATGAACATGTTAAGTCCATTAGTGAACTCAGCCCATCCACTTGGTCACATACTGTACAGAGATTAAAAAGGAAATGGTAGATCTGGAGATGTTGACATAGAAAAGCAACATCATTACATGATGTTTTACAGAACCGTTTTGCAGAAGGCTATGTTTGGTTTGGTCCCATTTAGGTAAGACTGACACATCAAAAGAGTCTGGAGTTATTGTCTGAGCATGGATTTGTGAGAGGGGGCTATTTTACATTCCAGTTTATATATTTCAGAATGTTTTTGTTTTTGTTGGTATGATACCAAATATTTATAATATAAAAAGATGGTGGAATTGTGATTCTATGGCATTATTTTTAAAACATGAAGAAAAAGACGTTTCTGACAAAAGAAACAGTTGTCTCCCTGACTCCCTGATATGAAGGAGGCATCAGAGTACTATTGATTGAAAGGGTGGGCTGTGGAATCCTCCAGACCTGGGTTCTAATGCCAGCTCAGCTACTTCCTGCTCTTGTGACTTAGGGTAAGTTCCATAACCCTCTAAGTTTGTTTCTTCACAAGTAAAATAGGATTAATCATATGCTTAGGGTTGTAAGAATTAAGTGTTAAGTTTCCTACTTCTCCCTCTAACTTTGTTTGCAGTTATGTTTGAATATATCCCCAGTCTAAAGCCCCAGGAATGATGGGTTCTAGTCTGCATAAAAATCCGTGTGAACTAATCAAAGGTGGGAATACTAGTCAGAATCTGTGTTTAAAAGCTTCACACTACAGTGGTTAAGTTCTGTCTACTTAGCCTTGTTCCAGAAACCTTTTTAGGCAAAGTACAAAAGTTTTGTGATAAGAAATAGCTTGGGTTTAAGATCAACGGCAAAAGGAAGTGAAAACAGGTGATGCCAAAATGGGATGAATTGGGAGCAAAAACTGTTAACACAAGAGTCACTGTTTTAACTCCACGAAGAACTTTTATATCACACAGTGTACATTACATTGCTTATGAAAGAAAAAACACTTATAATCATGGAAAAAGTGAGAAGTAGATTGGAATGAAAAGAATTCTGCTATCCACCTATGGTCACACAGGTGAAATTTTTAACATCTTAAAAGCTTTAGCCATTGATTGTTCTAAAATATAGCTCAAGAAGGGAAGCTCCCATATTTTTAAAAATGAAGCATGTATATCTTCATAAATCAATAGCATAAACATTCTTTAGACTTGTGCTTCTTTTTGCTCTTAAGAATTTCTCTACACCCTGAAAAATTATGTAAGATCCCAGGAGCTTTGTTTATGCTAGTTGTATCTATTGATATTTATCGTATAAGAAATTAAAACTGAAAAATTAAAAATATTCACTTTAAATCAATATATTAATACGGTTTAATTGTAAAAGTCTTTGTTTTCCAAACTAAAATAAATATTGGTGAAAATGAGTAGCATTGTTTTACATTTTTATATATCATTTAATATCTGGCTTAATAAAGTAGTAACATCTGGATTCTCCTCTTTGTGATATGTTGTTTTCAGTAGTCTTTTAGATAATCGTGTGTATTCTCCTTTGAAACTATACTAAATAAGTGGTTATTTTTTATAGGTTAGTTGTAAAGTGCAGTGTGAAAACATGAAGGAATATATTGTATTCTAATGTATTAAAATCCATTAGTCTGTCTTGCACTCTGGATCTGTGTTGATTTTGTAACATTGGTAATTTGGAAAATATCAGATCACTGAATTTAGCAGATTCTAAATGGAACATTTCATTATATAATATTGGTTATCACCACTAATCTCATCAGAAAAGCCTATAGGTATTTATTGTGAAGCTTTCAAGTCTATGGTGTAGATAAAACCTTTCTGGTATTCTAATTTTCTCCTAAAATCTTGGATTTTATAATTGAAAATAAATACCACACTTGTCTTCCTTGAAGTAACAAGCTGACTTTGTTCACATGTGAGAAAATGTCTGGCAGATACCCAAGTCTGAATGACCATAGTGTGTTACTTATTCATATAGGGAAAAATGATGGGCCATGAAAAAACTGCTACTTCAGCAGTTACATAACACAAGTGTGTCTCAAGATAACCATCAGAATTTCTTGAGCAACAAAAGTGCTTTATCTTATGTTTTCTCACTGAGAATATAAATAAGATGTATACTCAAGTGTTAGGGTTTAATAACATTAACAGTTTTTAGTGCTTCAACAAGTATGACCGTAAGTGAAATGGGTGTTCTGTATCATCCCTGCCCTGGGAGATTGTATAGTAGTAAAGAGTATTTACTGTTGATAGTTTTATACCATCAGTGGATAATCAACACATTGAAAAAAGGCAAATAATGTTTCAGTAACATCTTTCACCTGCCGGACTGCTTAAGGGTCCAAGGGATTATTATCCAAGTGTCTTTGGACCCCCTTTTTGAGAACTGCTACTGTATACCAATCTCACATACGAATATTGATGCAAAACATCCAAACGAACAAGTAGAATATAGCATTACACTAAAATAATAGTACTTTTGTCAGGGCCAGGTGTATTCCTCATTTAAATGTAAGGATGAGTATTAGGAAAGCTCTTAATATAATATACAACATTAGTAACCCAGGGAGGAAAATGCAGATGATGGTTATAATAGTTTCTAAAAATGAAACTAACAAACTAAAAATGAAACTAACAAACGAGTGCAAAACATAGTTAGGCAAACTGCCTTTTAAACATTTAAAAGCCACAAAATAAAACCCATAGTAAAAAGGAATACATTAATTTTTAACAGGATATATGTGAGTGTGTGTGTGTGTGTGTGTGTCTGTGTGTGTGTGTGTGTGTATGAGTATCTTTATTATATGTTTTCCTTAAACCAAAAGTCATCATCCTTCCCAGTTGTAAACAATTAGAGTACTCCCATTTAAAGTCAGAAACTAAAGTCAGTATCATATGGCATCATTATCATTGTAACATTGTTTTGAAATTGCCACATACCATATCATAATGATAAAGAGGTATGCATGTTTGAAAAAATAGAGGAGAATTCTCATTATAGGTGAGCCTCAAAGAAAGCCTCAAAGAAACAACTATTAAAACTATGTTAGGACCCATAGGATCTCAGATGGCTATTTAAAATTTTGTGTCATATGTCAAAACGTTTTCTATAATAGGACTTTCCTGATAGGAATAAGAATACATTCAAACAAGTAAAAAATAAAGATGATAAAAAGCAATATATAAGATCTAATTAAAGAAAGATACATATAAACTGAAGGAAATATAAATGTTGTATATTTCTGGGATAGAAATTAAACCTTCTGAAGATAGCAATTCTTTCTAAATCTATAAGTTCAGAGCAACAGTGGAATCTGAACAGATTCTCTTACTTTTGGAGTGTGACAGTATTGATTCTACAATCTGTAAGAAAATTCTGAGGAGGGTAATTAGAGGTGTGGGTGGATATAGAAGGCTTTGTCCTGTTGGTCTTACAAAAAATAAAAAGCTACCGTATGGTATTGGTACCAGAGTAGGTGAGTCAGAATAAAGTCCCAAAATAGATCTCAGGTATTTGGGGATTTAGCATATGATGCATCTCAGGACCTCTTCGGTAAGTGATCTTGAGAGAGCTGGTTGGCCATCGGGTACAGATCTTAACCAATATGCAGTTTTCATCAATTGCTGTCATGTCTGCTTCCTCAGTTTCTAGTAACTTTCCCTGCCTCAGATGATCTAATGACCTGCTACTAGTTCGATAACTTTACTATTCAACTCTCTTCTCACAACACATAGAGTAAAATAGTTGAAACTCTTTAGCTAAGGGGTAATGAAACTTACTTTCATTTTATTTCTATTGAATGGGCCAGATGCCAGCTCATTTAATTTCACAGCTCTGAAGTAAAACTAATCTGCCTTTTACAAAAGAAGAAACAGATTTTTAAGCAATGCAGTTTGACCAATTGTCACAGGCAGGTTTCAGTTCTAAAGTTTGTTTTCAGAGTTTGCCTTCATTCTAGTTAGGCGAACTACCTGTTAAAACTTACTGCGTGGCTCCTATCTGTGCTCCCAGCAACCCTCCCTGAGCCCTAAATTCCACCTGTTTCTTTAGTCTTCCTCTGATATGTCTGTACTGGACTACTTCTGTGCCTCTGCCTATGCACTTCTCTTTGCCAGTAACATTTTTGTTAGTTCCTTTCCACCTGTCTATTATTTACTTATCCTTGGAGCTGTAGCCAAAATTCTGTACCTCTTCCATAACTTGAGTACATTTTCTTGTATTTCTGCAGTTGAAAGCATCCTTCACTTTTGAAAATTTCAGTATACTTTATATTTCTGTAATAACGTACATCACTCTGCCTGGGATTATTTATATTGTTATTGAGAGAAGTTTACAAAAGTTAAAAGACACAGTTCCCAAACTGTAGTTTAGTAAGAAAAAACAGATACGTAAACTAAAATACAAAAGAGTGAAATAGTGTCAAAAGAAGCAAGTAGAAATCAGAGTGACTGTTCTCGGTAGCTATGGGGACACAGAAGACCTCATTGAATACATTATTTTTTATCTGAATCTGGAGAAATGAAAAGGATTCTGCTAGTTAGAATCTAGCAAGGGGAAATATCACAAATGCGGAAGAGTGATTGATCTGTGGGGAGGGATGAATTGGGAAATGAGACTGGGAAGGCAGTTTGAAACCAGATCATAGAACCATACCCCTGAGTTTGACCTTGTTTTCTGAGACAGCCACTGTATTTTTGAGGAAGTTGTAAGGAAAAAGAGACTGGCAGTGTACAAATACCTTAATACCTTTTTAAAAGCTTAGGTTTACAAAAATCCTGAACTATGTTGAAACAAAAATGTACTTTTCAGTGGCATAGCTTAAAAGACCTGCGATTTCTTCCATAAAGAAGAAATCTTTATTTTTTGTGTGTTTCTGAGACAGCGTTCTACAGCTCAGCTAAAGAATGGCTGGCAACTTTAGCCATGGCTTGTTTATACACATTGGTGCATGCATTTATATTTATTATGTACAGAACAGTTTTACTTTTAGTCAGTGATGCCTGGACATTTCCTCTTTACATATGAAGACCAGCTGAGGATTTTATGTACAATGCACATTTATTTTTGAGATTCAGTGTACTGAGGGTAAGCATATTTAATGATTTTTCATCTATATATTATCAAATCAGTGTTTAAATATTTAGCAGCTGGGGTTATCCATGTTATAGCCTTCCTTCTACAAATTACCATAACAAGGACTTACTAGTTAGTACAAAAATAGGGTTTCCAAAATACAGATAAGCAGAGATTAAAGCAGTTAAAATTTCTAAATACCTTGAAATCAGTGGCACTACTTAAGTTGAAGAACTTTTATGTCTCAAGAATGTTACTTTGAAGGGTCCTCCTGTTGACTGAATTCAGCAGCAGACCTAGTACAGTTCCTTTCCTGGATGTAGGAAGTTTGTTTCCAGTGTTCTCACAGACATCATCATAGTCATGAGAAGGTGATGACAGGTACCTACAGAACAAGAGAAAGACATCCTAAGTTCTTGCTCCTTAATTTATTGGCATAAATTTTTTAGCTTGCTTCACAATATGGTCAGCATAATTGAAGTGTTATCTGTGTTTTCAGACTTGATTGTACAAATATAAAGGTTTTCTTTTCAGGAATGTTTGGAGTGTTAGAGGTAGCTACTGAAAATAAGTTGATATCTTAAAACTAGTAAATAAGTTGGGATGACTAAAATATTGAGTAAAACTTCTCATACATTGCATGAAGATTCTATGTAACCTTTATTGAATAATGAGTTGAGGTTTTATGTGGCAGTCATGTATGATTTTTTTTTCTGTGTAATTTACATTGATGTACTTATTTTTGTGTGTTGTTTAGCCGTATATGTGGGAGTCCATGTCCTGCAGTGTGGCCTGATGTAATCAAACTACCATATTTCAACACCATGAAACCAAAGAAGCAATATCGTCGAAAGTTAAGAGAAGAATTTGTTTTGTAAGAAGGGGATGCTTAAATGTCCATATTGCATTGATTTTTTTTTTCTTTTTAGTTATTGTGAATTCTAAATGTCACTGTCCTCTATTGACCCAACGTAGACCGATCACAATTCTCTCATGTCCTTTAATTTTGACTTTCCCTTTGCTACATGCAAATTACCATTTCACTATCATTATGGTTTCAGTGATTTGGGGTTGTGTGTTTGATTTGGAGTTTACATGATGGAACTTTAACATCATTTAAAATTTTAATGAAGCAACTTACATGTTATTTGAGTTCAGGTTTTTATTTTGTTATAGGAAACTATACTATTCAGTTCTTCATTGTTAAAATTGCATATTTCCAATTGAGTAATAAAATAATGCTATTGTTTGCCAAATTTCAAATTATTTAGAATGATAGTTAAAAAGTATGTAAAAATATGTCTCAAAGGAAAATTTGGAATTTATTGGAATAAAGTAGTACAAACATGTTATAAAATGTTATTTTAAAGAAGCATTAAACTTATGTCAAAGACCATGTATGACTTTTGTAATCCTCTCATGCCAGTATTCCTGCAGCCGCATTAGACTTATTTGATTACATGCTCGCCTTGGATCCTAGTAAGCGCTGCACTGCAGAACAGGCTCTTCAGTGCGAATTCCTTCGGGACGTGGAGCCCTCAAAGATGCCTCCACCAGAGTAAGTGGCTCTTTATTAATAATTAGATCCCATCTGGATAGTTTTAGTAGCATCTGTATAAAATGATCAGAAGCTATTGCATGATTATTTAAGTCAAAAAGAATAAGTCAAAAGAAATAGAATACTAGTAATACACATAATTTGCACATCTAGAATTTAGAACCTTGCTTAATGTTCTGCTAACCATAGGAATAGCAAGAGCAGCTTTTCCTTTTTCTAATTTTATTAATAGATTTCAACTCTAGGAAAATATTCCTGCTGCTAATATTATTCTAGTACTACTTCTGCCAGCCCCAGTGTTGCTATAGCTAAAAATTTGGGTGCTATGCTAAGCATTTTTCATGTATTACATTAATCTTTATAATCCTATCAGGTGGGTATTATTATTGTCCTCTTTATATAGAGGAGGAAGCAGGCTCAAAGAGGTTAAGAAACTTGCCCAAGAATACAAATCTAGTAAAGGGTGGAGCCAGCCAGTTAGTTCAGTAACAAAGAGAAGTTCTGAAATATTCCTGGCATACTATATAATAGAAAATCCTTATCATTGGATAAAAGAGCATTAGTAACAAAAGTCTGTATAGAAGGAGTTTATTGGATGAAGCAGAGAAAATGTATAGAGTTTGGGAGTCAGAATAGCTGGGTTCTTGAACCTTCCTTCCCTTGTGGCTCCTGTAATTTCTCTAGGATTGCTTTGGGGAAAAAGGGAGGGGACAGAGCAGTCCACTTGGTTCTCTTTTTTGATAGGACCTAGACCTTTTGTAGGGATTTTTATAGTAATTTAAAAACTGAACGATGAGTGTAACAAAAGCAGGCCTATCCCTATAATAAAATGTTTCCGTGTAATAAAATTAGTATATTGTGAATGAACAAACATGGGCTTTGGAGTTCAAATCCTGGCTCTTCCACTTATCACTTAGATTGGACTTACTTTATTCTGAGACCTTCACGTTCAACTTCATTAGGTTTTTATTGAATTATATGAATAGACATTGTGGGATGATTTGACAGGCAGAAAGGATCTATCACTTAACATGTTGAAGGACCTGAATCATTCGCTGTTTAATTAATTGTTTCATGGTGGGGTTTTTGTTGTTGTTGTTGTTCTTTGCTTGTGGGTATATATCAGCAGGCTTGAGACTTTGGCACCAGTACCCCTTCAAAGTATATCTTTTATAACTTCTGATTTGGAAAAATTTCACCTCTGCAGAAAAATATGAAGAACAGTACAATAAGCACTTATATGTCATTCACCTAGATTCAATAATTATTAACATTTGCTTTACACTATATATAAGGTTTTCGTCCTGAAATATCTGAATATTGTATTGTGGAAGTGACACAATACTTATAAATGATTTGTCATGTAGCTGTAAGAACTGGGACTTTGTTACTACAGTGCCATTATAAAGCATAAGAAATTTAACATTGCAGTATGTAGTAGGCAATCCATATTTAAATTTCTCCAGTTGTCCCAGTAATTTCCTTTATAGTTTTTGTTTTGTTTTTTGTGTTTTTTTGATGAAGAATTCAGTCAAAGCTCACTCATTGGATTTGGTTGTAATTCTCTTCAGTCTTTAATTGCTCTTTGGGGGAGGGCTTTTATGACATTGGCATTTTTGAAGAGTTCAAGCTAGCTATTTTGTAAAACATTCTACATTTTGGCTGTAATTGCTTTCTTGTGATCAAAATTAGAATAACTTTTTTTTTTTTTGTCAAGAATAGTACTTAGGTAGTGATGTGTGCTTCCTGCTCTATCCTATCAGGAGGAATGTAAGGTCACTCTTCTCCCATTATTGGTAATACTAAGTTGATCTCCTGGTTCAAGTGGCCCACATGAAAGAATCCTGGTAAAAATTATATTGAGCATATTTTTAATTAACATCTAAACTTGTTTTAATCAAGCGTGGAGATAGTTGCAAAAGATGTAAATTTCAGTGTATGGTAAGTGTTGACACTTTTAAATGGAGCAGTTATCTCACTTCTTGTAAATGTACCCACTGGGATCAAAATATCTTAGCATTTTGATATTCATCAAGATTCATTTAGAAAATACAGAATACTCTTCAACAATTGGACAGTGTCCCTTTTTTAAATCTGGAACTTATATTAATTTCACAGGTTTTTAATGTAACATTTATGCTTGAAAGTATTTTATTGATTACCGTATTGAACTTCTTTAAAACAAATATATGTATATAAATGGAAATTTAATCTTAAAATTTTTCTGATTTTAAGCTTTTTTTCTTCTTGATCAGATGGTCATTGTGAATATTACTAGTATATATTTCAGTTTAAAAAAGGAAAGAAAATTGTTGACTCACTATGTTGTAGCCCTGAAACTAATATAATATTATATGGTAAATTATATGGCAACTATATTCCAATTAAAAACATTTTTTTAAGGAAAGAAAAAATTAATAAATTTGTTTGTAAATGCGACCTAATGAAATAGGTAGGACTGTGATTTTTTTTATATCTACCAATTAATATTACTCATTCTAGAATGAGAGAGTTCCACATTAATTGTAATTTTATTCTTTTCTTTTTATAAGTACCCTTGTAAGTAAGCCTTTGCGAACAAATGGTCTTTTGTCATGGTTTTATCACTGAGTTCTTTGCACTCCTTCCATATTATGTCCAAAAATCACAGAGTGATCTGTCATCAGAAATTATGATAATGACCTTTCAAATGTCGACTTAAGGTTCTGTTTTAATTTTCTTGACAGTAAAGAATTGGAAATCCTATGGCTTGAAAAGATTTTTAAGAGTCATTCATTATTTTTTCAAATTTTGAGAAAATAAACTAAAGAAGCTTTATTAGTATCTTATTAAATGATTTCTTATACTTCGTACTTTTTCTTTTATTAACACTTATTTCATCCAGTAAGTATACTTGGAAAAGTTTAGGGTGTCAACATGTAACGTCAGTACAACTTCGCCAATCTATATGTTACATCTTTTTTCTTAGTACTTTTTTAAAATGCATGGTTTTGTGAAAACCTTGGAACTGTAGATACATCCCATTTAATTAATGGAAAACATCTGTCATATAACCTAATTGGAACCTGTCCATATTGTCACACACATCACCTAATTTTTACCAGAACACACCTGACTGCATTTCTCCATTAAAAATAAGCATATTAAAAAAAAAAAAAAGGCATATTAATACACATTTTGGTGAACAGGCTGTAATCCAGTAATAAATTACAGGATGCATCACTAAAGCATTCAGGTTGAAAGTATAATGATATTGTGATTAATTTTAGGAATAATCAAATGAGAATAGGATATTAAAACAAAAAAACAAAACAACTGCATTAATTATATTAGATGTGGTGTCAAAACTTTACTGGCATATTTAATGGAAAGAAAAAACATATTACTAAAAAGTGAAAGAGTGACAGCTAGCCTATAATTTTATTTTTTCTCAACAGTAAGTGAAAAGCACTGAACAATTTATAAGATAAAATATGATCAACTGTAATTGGAATAAGCATTTCATGATGTGAGTGATTTGATAAAGGTAGTTTTAAACTATCTTACGTAATGATGATAAATGGGTATCAAGCGTGAATACAGTGCCTACTATGTGAGGGGCACTGTCCAGCGCTTACATATGTTAACATATATCATTACCTCTACCCCATAAGGTAGATTATATTGTTAATCTCATTTTTAAAGATAAGGAAACTGAGGCACAGAGGTCAAGTTACTTGCCTAATGAGAGCCAATAAGTAAGTGGCTGAGCCGGTATTTGAACCTTCAGAAAAAGCACATAAAAATGTGGTCATCCTGGAAAACGTTGCCGGTATATCCAGAGTCTGCATCACTAACCTATACATTACAGCTATTGGTTGGGTAATGTTGGTCTTTCCTAGAGATGAGCGTGGAGATCATCCATAAAGAATCTCTCAGCTTTAAATTGTGGGAGGGAGCCCAGAAGCCCTTTCCTGTGGATTTCTTTGCTTTCCCGTTATGGGGCTCTCCTGCAAGAGCATCAGGGTGGAAGAAGTGAAGTCACTCCTGTTGCCCCACTCTGAGTACCGCAGTATATCTGAATTCGGAATATCCCAGCAGGGGCTAAGGCCACACATCTTAAAATACATAAACACACACACAGAAAGGAAAGTCTTTGGCGGGTTTATGATGCCTTAAAGCTTCCCAATATCAATATTTCAAATTGTACCTTTGTTTGTTACTCCAGGAGGTTTTTACACGCTGAGGCAATGCACCATAGTAAGATGGCTGAGAGGTATGCCTTTGTTTTGTTTTTGGACCTCAGGTGCATAGACTTGGTTTAATCATAATCCTTGTGTCACTCATCATTGGTCCATGCATGGCTCTCTTTTTTTTCTTTTAGTTACTTAATTAGTTATTTTAAATGATGTTAATAAGCAGCCATGAACCTACCAAATAAAAGCTAGAACCTTGGAAATAACCTACGTTAGTCATATCATACCCTCTCCCCACCCCCTGCCCCACGACCTATCCCCTTGCCTTCCTCCACCTGAGGTAACCATCATCCCTGTTTTCTTTTGTATATACTTTTGTTGCCATCTATATGTACTCATAAAAAGTTATATTTTAAAATTTTTAGTTGTTTTTAATTTTATAAAAGAGTGTCATGCTGTTTGTAATCTTTTGGGAATGACTTTTTTTTACTTGATATTATATTGCTAAGATTCGACCATATTGTTGCATATGCCTTTATTTTGTAACATGAGATGAGAGTAATTGTGAAAGAGGAGGTGTGAAAGAACTTGCTGTGCAGGCCATTCTCCAAAGTCAATTGTAGGAAAGCTGTGTCAGTTGTTTTAAAACCATTTCAGGTGCATCCCCTTCAAAAGCATCCCTAGAGGTGAACACACCCAGGTTGAAGACTTGTAGCTGTATCAACCAGGTTGGGGCTGCTTAAGAGAATTTGTAGATATTCTGGGCAAGTTTATTAACCTTTCCAAGCCTCAATTTTCTCATCTTTAAAATAGATATAATAGTAACTTCCCATTGGAATTTTTATTAGGATAAGAAGAAAACATTTATAAATCAACCACTTACATCTTTCTTTAGGCAAAAGTTACTCTGTAGTGTTGTCAGTTTTAAGAAATTACATTAATGAAGGTAGAACTGTTTCAGAATTGTGGGTAATTTTGATAGCTGCTAGGTATTCAGAACTCTTTATTGATGAGTAATTAGCCTGGACTACCTATTTTTGAACCTTCTCTGTAGCATAGTTTCATTTTAGAGCATTTGATTATGGAAGTAAATAAGAGGGTATTAAAAAAGTAAAAAGCTTTTACTAGAAAGTCTTTCACAAATGTTATCTCCTAGCCTTTACTACTCTTTAATCCTGTTTCCATTTCCTGCGAATGGCATATTTTTTGCCTTTTTTTCCATGTCCTGTTCAGTGTATGGTGTACTGTGATAAGAACTGGCTTTAAAAGACTGCACCAAGGATAATAGTAACAAAGTTTTATGAACATGTGTTCTTCATTCATAGTTTTTAAAAATTTTTTTAATGTTTTATTTTTTATAGAGAGAGAGACAGAGCGTGAGCGGGGGAGGGGCAGATAGAGAGGGAGACACACAATCCGAAGCAGGCTTCAGGCTCCAAGCTGTCAGCACAGAGCCCGACACGGGGCTCAAACCCACGAACTGCGAGATTATGACCTGAGCCAAAGTCGGATGCATAACCGACTGAGCCACCCAGGCGCCCCGTTCATTCATAGTTTTAATAAATGATTATTTGTCAATTATTCAGAAGCCACAGAAAAACAGTCCATTTGTAAAAGTGAATCCCTGATAGAGGTGGGGCCTCAAGGATGATTTTTGTTGAGGGGCTCACACAGCATGTGTATGGAGTCTTCAAGATCAACTGGCAGGGGTGTGGGGTGGCAGCTTTGGTGCTGTGTAGGAAATATTAGCAGGTTTTTGTTGTCGTTAAGAAATAACACTGACAAACAATTTGATACCTTTTTTTTTTCCAGTCTTCCTTTATGGCAAGATTGTCATGAGCTGTGGAGTAAAAAGCGAAGAAGACAGAAGCAGATGGGCATGACCGATGATGTTTCAACAATTAAAGCCCCCAGAAAGGACTTGTCTCTTGGCTTAGATGACAGCAGGACCAGCACACCGCAGGGCGTGCTGCCGTCTTCACAGCTGAAACCTCAGGGCAACTCGAACGTAGCGCCTGGTCAGTAATGCTTCCTGGGTTGGTTTTCTTCCCTCGTTTTGTGGCTAGCTGTGATTATGTTGCTATCGTGTTAAAGCATTTGTGGCTAAAACATTAAGATTTACTCACCAAACTTGACATTTCCCTGTTAATTGCTTGTGCCAGTATAGACATTTTACTCCTACTGGCATCACAATATGAAACAATCTTAAGGTAAGAGGCACTTCAGAAGAGCATCAAATTACATATGATTAGTGAATGGTCAGATTTCTCTATTTCCTTTTTCTCCCTAGGGCAAGAATCCATAGAAAGATATAGGAAGACAGCCAAAATTCATAATAGAAGTTCTTTCATTCTGTTTATAATGTCCTCAGATCACTCTTACTACATGGCCTGTTAATATTATAGAATCTCAAAAATTGGAATCTCATATTGTTCGAAAAATGACTTGAAGTATGATAAAGAAGGCTATCTGGGGGAAACTTACTAAATTTCTTCCTCTGGATCAGTCTGTCATAAGAGTAATCTTCTTCATGAGAATTCGGCCTCTTGAGTGTTGTCAGAAATGTTGTTAAACTCATTCTGTCATTTAGTTTTAAAGATCAGTTAGTTGATTAAAACAGATCTGATCAGATTGAACTTTGGTGGTTGGATATAAATATAGAGTAGATTAGCTTTCCCATGTAATCTGCAAACTTATACTTGACCTTGGTCAGACTGCATTAAAGTACTGGTACATTACTTTACAAACCAAAAGCAATTGTTATTTGTTGCTCAGAGTTTCATTTTATCTTTTGTTTTCCTTTTTTTGAAACTGTCACTGTTAAGAAGAATCCTGGTTTTGTGAAATAGGAATGAATCCTCTCTGCTTCATTTTCTTCATCATCAACTGTCTTATTTTAAAAGAAAATGCCCTTTTTGTTAGAGGAGACACCATAGTTACAGAATACTTGCAAGCTCACACAGAGCCTGCCTCTGCTGATGTAGAAATAAAATGGAAAATGAGGGGAACCTGGCTCTTAGGATGCAGCAAACAGACATGGCTCTTTGTTTCTTAATGCCTGCGAGTCACAGGAAGAACTTGCAAAAGTTTGTTTTGAGTTAACCTACAAATAACATTAAGAAGTAATAAAAAGGCTCTTAAAATATATATAAAGAGAGAAAATAAAAGGAGAGCGTTACTCATCAGTTTTTTATTTTCTTGGAGTTTCTCTTCTGTTGGTTCATCATTCTTATAATAGAAATTGCTTATCAGAGTAGTGTCGCTGAACTTCTGTGGTATCATACACATTCGAGCCTTGTTATGTGTGGCTCAGGGAAGCTTGCACGAGAACCTGTGCAAACCGTCACTAGCCTCAACTGAAAATTGAAAAACAACGCCATCTGTTTTGTTGGTGATGAGTTAATATCATCTTGCATGAGCATTATAAGCATGCTTCTGTAGGAGTTCCTAACTTACCCTAAGGGACTTACCTTAAAAAAAGGTAATTTGAATAAAATACATTTTATTAAGGAGTCTATAACATCTCAGTTTGAATTTACAGCAAAATCAGGTTAGGTCCTCAGATAATAAGCATGATTTTAGATGAGCTTATTTAAGATGATTTTAGTGAGTAGTTAAGAGCTCAGACTCCGGAATCAGAATACCTGGGTTCTGATCTCAACTTGGCCGTTTACAGAGTTTGTGACCTTGGGCAAATTATTTAGTGTCCCTGGATGTCAGTTTCTTCTTCAGTTTAAAAACAAACAAACTGGGAGTAATAATAGAGGGTGCCTTCAAGGTTGTTGCGAGGAATGAAAGATCCCAAATGTTTCAAGAGTGCCTGACACTGTAGCTGCCCCGCGCCACCGCCTCCAGTCCCTGCTCACAGCTGGCGAATCCCACTCACACCTACCCTACGGGGCTCCAGCAGTAGTCTTGGTTTTCCTTTTGAACTATTGAGCCCTGAAGAGAATTCTTCAAAACGGGCCGCAGTGTGTTGTTGTTGTTTTGACTTACGTGCAGTTACATCTTAAATGTACGTACATGAAATTAGAACCAGACTGAGATTCCTGTTTCACAGTGTTTCCTACACACTGTCCCACAAATGGGCATTTTAATAGGGTAATATAGAGCCATTTTGGGGGGGCGGGGTGTGCTGTGAATTATGGCAATTCTAATTAATACAAATTTTGTCTTTAGTAAAAACAGGCCCTGGACAGCAGTTAAACCACAGTGAATTGGCAATTCTACTAAACCTACTACAGTCTAAAACAAGTGTTAATATGGCTGATTTTGTCCAAGTGTTGAACATTAAGGTAAACTCTGAGACTCAACAGCAGCTAAATAAAATAAACCTTCCTGCTGGAATTTTGGCAACAGGTGAAAAACAGACAGACCCATCCACACCACAACAGGAGTCTTCGAAACCATTGGGAGGAACTCAGCCTTCTTCTCAGAGCGCGCAGCCTAAAGTGGAGACTGATGCTGCCCAGGCGGCCGTGCAGAGCGCTTTCGCAGTTCTGCTGACTCAGTTAATAAAGGCCCAGCAGTCCAAGCAGAAAGACGTGCTACTGGAAGAGAGGGAAAATGGGTCGGGACATGAAGCGTCATTACAACTCAGGCCACCTCCAGAACCTAGCACTCCGGCATCGGGTGAGTGTGCAGAGAGCAGACCGCTAACAGTGTCCACACTGTTTTTCTTGATGGTGGGGGGGGGGGGGTCTCAGATGTGTATCGTTTGGTGGCATTGCTAGGAGTAGATGTTCTGAAAATTCCCAGGTCACTGGTCATAGGTTGGTTCGTGAGTCCATTTACTCCTAGGAAGAGTAGATTCTTTGACAAATTACCCATGTGTGCTGTAGCTCATTAAGAATGCCAGAGATTTTTCTCATGTAAACCTCTGATGGAAGAAATAATTTACTCCAACTACAACAACATGATTGAGCAAGGCAGAAACTTTATGTGTACGGTAGCTTTTGTTCTTCAGGCAATAAATAGGTAGATGTGAGATACCTTGGAAAAGTCCAATGCAGTTAAATTTTTCAGTCACCACAGACCTAAATGGTAGCAGGCAATATTAGTATTTATATCCCTGTTTCCTTTCGTTCCTTTTTTTTTTGCTGGAAATGGAACTTCCGGAACTTGTGATGTTCTTTAGGACCACCTGTAGGAAACTGACTATTTTGAAACACATAGTTTTCCATGATCACTTTTGACTCTCTCTCTCTTTTTTTTTTTCCTTTTCTTTTTGCTTTGTTTCACTTAGGGCAAGATGACCTCATTCAGCACCAAGATATGAGGATGTTGGAGCTCACCCCAGAACCGGACCGGCCTCGTATCCTCCCTCCTGATCAGCGACCTCCTGAACCGCCTGAACCACCACCAGTGACCGAAGAAGATCTGGATTATCGGACAGAAAACCAGCACGTACCCACCACCAGTTCTTCGTTAACTGACCCTCATGCCGGAGTGAAAGCCGCCCTGTTACAGCTGCTCGCTCAGCATCAGCCCCAGGATGATCCCAAAAGAGAAAGTGGTATGGATTACCAGGCAGGAGACACTTATGTGCCCACATCAGACTACAAGGACAATTTTGGATCCTCTTCTTTCTCTTCCGCTCCTTATGTTAGCAATGATGGTCTGGGAAGTAGCTCTGCTCCTCCACCATTGGAACGACGTAGCTTCATTGGAAACTCAGATATTCAGTCTTTGGATAACTACAGTACTTCTTCATCTCATTCTGGTGGTCCACCTCAGCCTTCTGCCTTTTCCGAGTCATTTCCCAGTTCAGTAGCTGGATACGGAGACATTTACCTCAATACTGGTCCCATGTTGTTCAGTGGAGACAAGGACCATAGATTTGAATATAGCCATGGACCCATTGCAGTCCTGGCGAACAGCAGTGACCCTCCCACAGGGCCAGAGAGTACTCATCCTTTGCCAGCAAAGATGCACAACTATAACTATGGTGGTAACTTACAGGAAAACCCGGGTGGCCCCGGCCTCATGCATGGACAGACCTGGACTTCTCCTGCCCAAGGACCTGGATATTCACAAGGATACAGGGGACACATTAGCACATCAGCTGGCAGAGGTCGAGGCAGAGGGTTACCATACTGAGTATCTGTTTTTCCTCAGGCACATCATTTTTATCTGGAAAGACTTTTCTAGCTGCAATTTAAGGCAGCAATCCAAGAGACTTGAATAATATTAATTCAACAACAGCTTTATTTTTATGTGGAAAAGGGTCTTGCATACAATAGTTAAAAAAAAAAAGAAAAAAAACCTTTGCTTAAATTCATGCTGTTCTAAAAACTAGATCTATTGATTGTACATCTTCACAAATTCTAGTTAACAATTTTATTTTGTATTCTTGCAGTTTTACGTGGATGCTAATCTTAGGGACATAAGAGTCTTTTATGGCCCTCTTGCAGATCTTCTGAACTATGCACATTTGTGCTTTTTTTGTAAGTTTGGACCAACTTTTATGTAACAACCAACCAACCCCTCCCCCCCTCCAGTTTTACAACAATCAGAAAGGGCACTGATTTATTTGGTATTTTTCTTTTTACAAAGCTACCTTTAGTCAAAGGTCACTGTCAGTCTTTGCACCTGCTTCCAGTGTTATTGTGAAAGGTGTACTTTGTGCTCACTTCAGAAAATAAAACACAACCTTTCTCTTGATGCAACAGTTTTATAAAAAAAAAATGGTCAACGTTATTTTTGTTTTATTTTGCAGATTATCATAGCCGAGCAAAATGCATTCAAATGAAATAGTGGGTTTTATATGAAAAATATGGGGTGGGGAGGGTAAGTAAGTGCCTTAACAGGTAAGCTGAAGGTCTGAAAAAGCAGTTAACCTTTACACCCATTTTGTCTTCTAAAGGGAATCAATACTGTATTGAAGAGGCAGGGAGCTCTCCAGTGTTTAGGGACTGCTGCCTGTTCAGTTCCCGCTAGACTCATTCCCTCTGCCTGTCACACTTTCTTCTTTCCTGCCTGTCTTTGGGCTATGTTACCTTCCACTACCACCTTGTCTTGCTAGGAGCGTGAGAGCAAAGAAAGGGATTAGAACTCCAGTCAGTATCTTGTTACTTCCAAGAAGTTCTAAAAAGTTACATCATTTAAGTGGTTGAAAGTAATAGCTAAATGAGAATTTTAGAGTACCCGTTTTCAGGCTGCCATATTGTCCCTGTTTTCCTTTTGCCATGGATAATTGGAGGGCAGTAGTGCAGAAGCAAGGCTTAATAAACAGAATTGCCTGATTCTATTAAAGTTCATGGGGGGAGGGGAGGCAGACATCATATTTTAAGTTACGCAATTGCCATTTTAAGAAAAAGCCGTTCAGTTTGTTAACTAGAAACTTTGCCTACACTGAATTTATTGAAACAAAAAGAAAAAGTAGTGAGAGAAAACCTCTTCTCTTCCTTCCTCTCACCTTACCTTCTGTGAGGTTTATTAGGACTTCTGCCAGACTTAGAGCAACCTTAGTTCATTTTAGCATTTTTCTCTTTTATTAAAAGCAGCAAAGAAGGATGGACTAACCCTATGTAAGCTGTAATGGTGTCAAGTCTAACTAACTTCTCATGCACGCTCAGGCACACGTACAATTACAATAAATTCTCAAAAGGAACCAAAGGTGAATAACCAGTGTTTCCAGTATCCCTGAATGGAAAAATAAACTCTGGAAATGAGAGCTGTGCCAATTAACCATTTTGTTTTAACTGTTCTTTCTCCTGGTAACTTACTTTTTCATTGGAATTGTAAATCGGAAGAACTGTTTTAGAATGGAAATTTGCTCCAGTTCTAAAGTCAGTCTTTTAACCCCATGCCCTCTGACTTGTGAACCTTCATTTCAAAATACTATATGGGAAGCATTACAGTTTGGTGACAGCAAGGATATTTTAAAGTGGATATTTTACCATTTTACTGCTATAAAATGAGTTGATGTCAGTTGATCATTTTATTTTTTTGATGGAATTTTTTTTTGTTATTGGGGAGAAAAATGAATGGAAGAACAATTATTTTGCTTTTATTTGAATTTTGAGTACTAACAACTTAAAAGTACATTGCAGGAGGTGAAGAAATACTTCAAATTTAGCAAAATAGCTACAGTATTCAACTATCTCAAATTTTAATATGGTGAGTCTTAGCGCTTTAGACTTTCCTATAAGTGACAGTATCTTAAGTTATTCTTAATAGTCACACTTGATAATTCTGCTGACCATAGCAGCTAACCGAAAATTGAAGATATTTATGTGACATGAATAGCCTGTGTTTTAAAAATTAAATATTTTATATAAAATTGAACTGTGTTTGGATAGTTTTTCCAACATTTCAGTTATATATTTATGTTGGGAGAGTGGCTGGGAGGACAGGGAAGTTGTTGCTTGAAATTGGAAATTTGAACTACAGCTTATAATATTACCCTTAGACAGTATTAATTGTGAAATATACCAGTATCTTACGCACCACTTAGAAAAAATCTTGCTGGTTAAACCACAACACAATGCCCAGATGCAGTAATTGTAAGATACTTCCCAAATTCATAGATGTTATTATATGAAACAGTCGGTGAAATACGGTAATAAAAATCTCAATGCATCCTTCCATACCATTTAATACTTTAGTAAATCCGAATTAATAAAAAGAGCGGGGATGGAAATCACTAATTACATAGGTTATAATTGCAGTAATCACGAGTATTCTTGAGTAAAGTCTAAGGACCATAAAACGTTACTTAAGTTTTGGGGAAAGAAACAGGTAAGTCAGATTGCAAATATGAAGATGAAAATAAAAGACTGACCTACCAAAAGAAGAAAACTTCTTATCTCCCATGTGAAATTCCCATTTATATTTCCTGACGCGGCAAGTTTTTCTGCATGCAACTCAAAAGTCTTCAGTCTGTTCTTTGTGGAAGAATTGTAGTCACCCATGAAATTTTTAAGACTCGTTTTAAGAGGTTTATTGATCAAAATGGTTTGTGGAATGTGAATTAAGATAATGCTTTGGCTGTGATTCAGGGCTTCATTCTGTCAGTGAGTATACATATTCAGTGCCTTGGGCTACGTCAGTTAACTTGTGAAGGGCATTCAGTCACACTTCCAGTGGGCTGATAAGATTTTAAAAAGGGTCTGGAGAAGCTAGTAGTATTTGCTACTCTCAGCTGTATCTACATTACTCTTAAGTGAATGTAAGAAGTGACCATGTGCGTGTGCAGTTTTAAAGTGGAAACTGAATAAAGAAATAACATTCTGGAACAAAATAGAACAACTGGAAACTATGATGAAAACAAATTTTAAGTTGCATCTGGCCAATTTGTAATAGGCTAATTTGTAGGAAATATCAGGATTTCTTAAGAAAAGTGGAAGGTAAATGGGTTAAGTGCTTCCAAACTACTCTCACTGGAACTTGCGAGTCAGAGTTTTGCCGTGTTTGCTAGGAGCTTAATCATTTTACACAACTTTTCACCATAGTCCCTCCCCCACCTTTTGTTAAAATAAACTTGAAATACGAGTTCTGAATGAAAATCTACTGATCCTCTGGGATACTGGTTTTGAGATTTTTAAAGACTGAACAGGACATTCCTTCCAATATTCTAATCATCTGGTCTGTACCCTCACTTTTACAGCCTAAGAGAAATGAGATGTAGAGATGGATTTCCAGGGCAGTTCCTCTAAGCCACATCTAAATTCTGCAGAAAACACTTAACTTTTTTAAAAAATTGACTTAAAATAGTTACCAATGTTGGGGCCAGACTGACAGAAGCCTGCTTGGGATTCTCTCTTGCCCCTCCCCTGCTCACGCATGTGCACACTCACTCTCTCAAACTTAAAAAAAAAAAAAAAATTACCAGTGTTACAGTGAAGTAAAATAATTAAATTTAGAATACTGAACAACTACCTTAACAAATGGTTTTAAAAAGTCAACTTATAAAACGACTCAAAAAATAGACTAAAACAAAACTTTAGAAAAACTTCATTAGAAGCCTATACAGGATGGATAGTTCTTCAAAAGGAGGCTCCTCGTTTTTTTTTTTGTTTTGTTTTTTGTTTGTTTCTTTTTAACAACAGTAGTTTTTAAATAACGATTAGGTAGTGAACTGAATCATTTACATTTGTTTTCTCTTTAGAGGAGGAAAGTCTATGCTAGCAGGCCTGCAAACATTACTTTTAAAATCTTTCAAGGGTTTATAATTTCCAGGTGTCATGAGGGAGCAACGGTTTGTCATTTTACCAAAGCCTCTCCAGGTAATTTCGCAAGCTGCTTTTAATTTAATTAAAAATAAAAGCTATTAAATTAATAAGCTATCAAGGGATCCACTTGAAGACGGAGAAAACAAAATTTTGACCATAACAGAACTTTGTCTTTAAATTGTGTAGACTGACAAATTTTGTGGGTCTTACCCTCTTCATCACGTCAAAACAATTCCTAGTTGTAGTTGCATTCAAAATGAGGCCCTGTAAGTGAATCACCCCTTGGTTTTCTTTGACAGCTAGTTTGTTGTAAAGGTGTTGTACTTTTTTGCAAGAACTTTTAGTAAAGTCTTGTAACTGTTTAATGTGTTTAATAGAAGCCATTTGTTTAAAAATAAATAAATAAAGGCTGTATTCGATAGTCTGTAAATAAACTGCCATAAGAATTCGAGGCCATTTTTAGCCTTGTTTTATTCTTGCTTATATCCAGTACAGACTTCCAGGAATAATCTTAATAAATAATCTGAAAAAGATGACCACTTATTATCCATTGTGCCGTGTTTTATTGACAAAACCTAAAACCCGGAATACTTACTTTGTCCTTTTTAGACTGGTACATATTTGAAAATGTAGGAACACCTCCAAAGATAACCGTTAATAATTAGACTTTGATGGATGTATATAAATGCGTATCTAATCTTTTTCTTAAAACAATGGGTTTATGTTACCCGTAACTTTGTAGTTTATTTTTTTCATTTAATAATACATTGTGAACATCCTGCTATGCCAATAATTAAATTCTACCCTCTTTTTAATGGTTGTGAAGTTATTCCCTTATAAAAAGAAGAACCGTAGCTTCCAATTTCCTTATTGCTGGACACAAAATATTTCTAACCCTTCTGTCATAAATAACTGTGATGAAAATCCACATAAAAACAAATATGCATGATTTCCTTGGAATTGCTGGTGTATAGGAGTATACTTCTAAACTTCTGCTATATCCAAATTGCCCTCAGGAAGGGTTTGCAAATTTTACATTCATTCCTATTACTTTTCACTTAGCTATGCTGGGTATTTAAAACTTTTAAATCTGCCATTTTGACAGGTGATAAATCATTTCGATTTGTATTTATTTGATTACTAATGAAATTCATTATTTCATATTAGGTATATTTTGTTTTATTAACTATTCATGTTCAATTATTGCTTGAAAGAGCAACAGAGATAAAGAAGATAGCCCTATGTAAAGTATAATTTTAAAAACACTGTATGGTGTGTTTTGATGTAGGAAAAATTTATAATTATATATGTAGCCAATTCTATTCATCTTTTCCTATGGTTTCTCCTTAGAAAAGCTTTCTCCAAGATTATTTTAATATTCACATAAGTTTTATTTTACTTCTCTGGCTTCTTTTACACTTAATTCTAAATCACCTTAGAATTCAGTTTTGTGAGGTGAGCGACGACTTAAGGCTTTCTCGGAGTGGCTAACCTGATGACGCAAGCAGCATTGGTGAGCGGTGCGTCCTAGTCATAGTTTGTAAATACCATCTATGTCTTATTCAGGTCTGTTTCTGGGCTTTCAGTTGCGTTCCACCCTCATCTCTTCTGTTACAAGTTCTACAGTTGCATTATGTCTGTATAAATTATGCATCGGTCCTTGTAGTCCTTTTTTTAATCACTCTATTTTCAATCCCTAGAACGATGTATATAGTACACTGCAGGCAGTAATACTTGCTGTAGGACAGAGCTTAGTTGTCCCTTTTTCAAAGTTTTCTATTTTTGCCTGTTTATTTTTTCATGTGACTTTTAGAATCATTTTGTTCACTTTCCCCAAGATATCTTGTTAGGATTTTAACTGGAAACATTAAGTGTTTAAATTTACTTAGGAGTCTTTCCATTGAGAACAAAGAATTGGTTTTTTGCATGTTCCTCATTAAAAGTTCCAAAATTTTCTTTTTTTTTTTTTTAAATTTTTTTTTCAACGTTTATTTATTTTTGGGACAGAGAGAGACAGAGCATGAACAGGGGAGGGGCAGAGAGAGGGAGACATAGAATCGGAAACAGGCTCCAGGCTCTGAGCCATCAGCCCAGAACCTGACGCGGGGCTCGAACTCACGGACCGCGAGATCGTGACCTGGCTGAAGCCGGACGCCCAACCGACTGCGCCACCCAGGCGCCCCCCAAAATTTTCTTTACGGTAGCTGTTAATTTTTTAAAAAGTTTCCAAAAATATTGTTGTTGCCTTTAGAAATGGCCTTTTCATGTTATTAAATAATAGTATTGTAATATTTTAAACTAGTCACTGCTTATATAGGAAAGCAGTCATTTTTTTAACTGAAGACATTTTATTATAATTTCCAGTAATTTTCAGTTTGATTTAATATGATAATGGGCATTCTTGTTTCTGACTTTATGAAAGTCTGTAGTATTTAACTCCCACGTATAATTTTAACCTATAGAGTAGAAATAGAATGCTTTATGGGGCACCTGGGTGGCTCAGTTGGTTAAGCGTCTGGCTCTTGATTTTGGCTCAGGGCATGATCTCATGGTTTGTGACTCTGTGCTGACAGTGCTTTATTATGTCAAGATTATTCATGAAGCCCATTTATTAGGATCAGATGTTAAATTTTTTTTTCAAATGCGTTTTCAGTGTCTACCATTATATTTATACAGATTTTCTCCTTTGAGCTATTGATCATAGACACCAACTATGTTAGTAGAATCCAATCTTGAGCTGCTCATTTAAAATGCTGCTGTGTCCTATTGACTAACCCTGTATTTAGGATTTTGTATTTACGTTTGTTCATAAGAAACAAGTCTGGTTTTAATTTACAGGTTTTGATAGCTGTGCAGAATAAACTGGAAAACTATCTCCTGTTTTGTTTGATTTGGAATAGTTTATATATTTGAGAATGATTGTTTATTGAAGTTGATGCTGTTTTACTTATACCCAGATACACCTGACTCTTCTCTTGAAGGTAATTCTTTCACAGTATTTCTGTTTCCTCATATGTTCTTGCTCTGTTCAGCATTCTGTTTCTGGAGTAAATGTTGGTAATTTTCCTTTTTCTGGAAATTTGTCATTGTGGTCTACCTTATATTCAAACTGTT